CCATCTTACTGACGACACTCGGTCCAAACGGGCAACTGGACATACGGACAGGTTTGTTTGTTCGTATCTCTGAAAGTCGAATGTTCGTAAGTAGAGGAGTATCTGTATAAAGTAAATGCAGATGCATATGCTCAGCGTAGATTGACGCTTTATGAAATACAATACCGTCTCCTCCAATCCATCTGACTGCCCCCCATAAAATACGCATTGCAGTTGCAAAATTAAAATTGTCACATCCTGGTACACCTTTTTGTTTTCATTTGTCTCAATTCATTATTCCGCAATGATAACTTTCAGTTAGTGTTCATGTAAAATTCAGGGAAAAGCCACGCGCCTTCATTGGTAAGTTTTAAAATTGTATATTTTTTAAACATTTACAACATTTTTACCATTTTGACAACACATCTGCTGCGTAGCCCCAGGATACGCAAAACAGTTTTTGCTTTGCGTATCTTTACTATCAAAAAATGTGCACCTTATGAGTTTTTCATTGCATGTGGGAGGGGGGAAGTGAACAAATGGCATTGCAATTAGCTGTTTAAGCATTAAAACTTGCAACATTGCTTTAAATGCAAGTTGACATTAGCAGCGAAGTTCAGGGCCTCTGTTTTCGTGGATGGGAAGAGTTGGATGCAGAGGCGGATTTAGAAACGTTCCCAGCGGGATGAGCAGCTCCCACATTTACAGCTTTTTAACCAGGGCCCTATTTTAATTAAACGCACAATGTATTTTCTCTGGTAAATATCTCAATACATTACCAATGTGCAGCTTCTCAAAGGAGGGTGGGGAAGAGATGGAAGAGGTGACTATAGCGCCCCCATTGCCCCCCCCCCCACCACTAATGAGATGCAACACTTAGCTCTTGATGCCTCTGATGACCGGTGTGTCTCAAAGGAGCAGGCCGCTTAGTACGCACGCATAGACACTGTGAAGAAGGGCCGTTGCCGAAAACGTTGCCTGTCGCATGCATTTCCTTTTCAAGTCCGCAGCTCTATTGAGGGGTGTATTGAGTCTCGTGGATTGTTGCATCATGGCGATGACTTGGGGGAGGGAGAGGGATTCATTCAGCAGTGGATAAAGAATGTCTGCTAATGATACTGTACTATGTTTATGTTCTTCCATGTGGAAAGATAGATGTTCAGGAGATCAATGCCAATGTCGAGGTCTGCTAGCCGAGAGAAGGCTACAGGAAAGAGTCCGTGTCGTATTGCTCGTCCTCCGATGGAGGAGCGTAGGCTGCAGAGATTAACTGTGTGGTCCACAGCTTGAGTTGCGTGGCCACAGTCGCACTGCTGTAGCTTGTCTTTAACTTGTTGTTTCATGAAGGAGATGTGCGCATCGTCCTGTTGATGTGCTCATGCGGTTGATGGTCACACCACCGGTGTGTTTGGGGAGGAACGCCAAAGCCAGGAGGTCGCGATCTTTTTTGCCTCGAACGAGGCGTCGTTTATTCCGAACGTCTGCGTTGCTCCACCCGGTTCGCCGGCCTTCTCCCAGACCTGGGTGAGATGCGAGGATGGTGAGGGCGCGAACCCAGGAGAGGGATCGATCGGGACTTGAGCCGGCGGCGCAACGTTGAGGTCTAAGCTGAAGGATCAGTTGATGTCAAGAACCCGCGTCAACTCCCGTGCGGTTTGGATACGTACACGGTGTTTGTATGTGGAGCATACGAAAGGCCTGTTCTGCTCATCCCCATCGCCGCCTGCTGGCTGTACCAGAGCAGCACTGACGATGACACACACACGCGCGGTGAACTTGCCCCTTTTCATTCCTAACATTACTCTGCATCCGTTGACGTTCTTGACTGGATATCAAAACTCGATATATACCATTCTCTTTGGTTCTATTCGGTAAAGTCACGTAGGTAAAAAATAAAATAACAAAAATCACGACGTTTTGGCCACAACACAAGTGGCCTTCATCAGGTGAAGGGACCGTGCTGTCATGACAGCACGGTCCCGGCCATCACCTGATGGCCGAAACGTCGTGATTTTTTTGTTATTTTATTTTTTACCTATGTGACTTTACCGAATAGAACCAAAGAGTATGGATCCTTGCAGTCACGAACGCTTCAAATCTAGAATATATACCATTGTTGATAAATGTTGTTCATCATTGTTGATAAACGTTGCTCACAGAGGAAGATTAACTTTTTGGTAATCGGCTCGTACGTTTAATGTAAAAATGCAATTTAAAGAATCGCTTGTTATGAATGCTGAAATTATAAGAAAGCAGAGTTTTACATTTCTGCCTTTAATGTAAGGAAATCAGTGCGTTCCACTGACATTAATTAAAATCCGGTGATGCTGTTGTGTTATTTTTTATCTGTAATGGCTATACAGTATACTTACTGTTGACGCCAGGCAACTGACACAAAATAACACGTGAAATATTGACAATGTTTAATTGGTGTCAACAATACATCAGATCTTTTTCAAGAAGGCTTAAAGCACAGTGATCAGGAACATGTTTAATTTGTGTTGTTTCTCAGTGCTGTTGTCCCCATTGATGCTCAGAAGTGTTTCCCCATAAGACATTGCAGTTAAAAAATGTTGATTTAAAGCTTTCGTGACTGCAGGGATTCATATTCTTGGTTCTTTCGGTAAAGTCACGTAGAAGGGAACCAATAAAATAATAAAAATATGAAACAATAAAATTATCACGACGTTTCGACTGCAACACAAGCAATTGTTTCCCTTCTACGTGACTTTACCGAAAGAACCAAGAATACATTGCAGTTTGTTACGATAGCAGCAAGACACTGAACAGGTGATTTGGTGATACTGTTCCACATTGGCAGTGGTGTCAAAAGCGTACAAAGAAACAAACATTCTGCACGTTCGTTAAGAACACTGCGGCCTTAAAAGGAGCACACATATAAATACAACAAGCAACGTTTCGGGCAGTAGTCCTCCTTCATAGCGCATGCAATGTGTACCAGAAATTAATTGAGAGAACAAATGCAGAGGTGTATAATTCAAGTCAACCTCGAGCCAATTAAGTCGCAATCAACTCGTGTTTCTGAAGCCCTGTAACCATTCACAAGTGCCAAGGTCCACGCACCATTGGCTGGATGGATTTCGTTTTTGCTCTTCTCGCAATCAATGCAATTCCGACAGCCCGCATTCAAATTGTCAACGGGTTACAGATTCACGAATACAGACAGAGAGTGATGCCACACGCGGTTAATATCCATGATCCGCATTATTCACGACATTGTCTCGCGTAGGGCGGCAGACCTTTACAGATTCATTATGAAGCAGCTGAGACCTGGTAAAGTGGTAGGAATTTGTGGTATGAAGTTTAAATAACAAAACACTCAACAAATCCTTCTATAACCATGTAGTCTTAGAGGGGGGGGGATATATATAATCGGCGACGTTTCAGGCAATGTCCCTTCATAGCACATAAATAAAGATGCCAGAGAGACAGAGTAGATACGAGTAAATCATTGGTATTAGGTTTAGTTTAAATGTATTTTGTTTAAACAGATGATAATTCAAGTAGAGTCAGGATTCGCAGTGAACGACTTAGAAAGAAAGGGGCCAAACAGGTGCTGGAGAAACTGAGCCAGAGGATGCTGCGTGTTTGTGCTGGATGCACCATTTGCCACTGGCGCGGAAAGAGACGAATTGCACCCTTGCATAAGAATGATTATTAAAAATACAGACATTTTGTAACTCTAGAGGATACATTTAATTAGCTTTGCAGGGAATGTGTTTACCATAGTTTAGTTTTTTTCCTGTGTAGCGTAAACAAACAGATGTATGCTGAATGCAATGCCAGTATGGCTTTAGAGCGGCAAGTGGTTTTAGCGAGTGCATTTTACTCTGAGACAGCGACTTTAATAGGGGAGAGCTGGCAAGCAAAGATGGAGGATGAGTTTCGATTGAAAGCTTTCGTGACTGCAGGGATTCATCTTCTTGGTTCTTTCGGTAAAGTCACGTAGAATGGAAATAAAATAATAAAAATGAAACATAATATTTTATTATAATATTTTATTATGTTTAAAATAATAAAAATGAAACATAATATTTTATTATAATATTTTATTATGTTTTATTTTTATTATTTTATTTCCATTCTACATGACTTTACCGAAAGAATCAAGAAGATGGAAGATGAGCATATGGTGTTGTGTCTTTAAGTACATATACAATCTGAGCCCCGTGATCCCATTTGGAGAGACGGGCCTTGAGAATGCCTATGTCACTCTGGTATGTACATTATAGAAGCATTTCAAGAAACAGACCATGGGTCACATGATCCAACGCCGCCCTGTTTTACCGACTTGTGAGCGACACCGACCCACGTCCACTAAGCCTCCACAGAGCCCGTAGCATCACTTAATGACCTCGTTATGCGCTCGTAATGTCGGCCAATTTCACCGTGCCAAACGAAACAAGAAGATTTGGGGTGAGATATTTAGAGTGAGATTCGGAGAGACATCGCAATGCGATGAGGACGACGTTTCCAAGAGGTAGATTGCGTCTCCCTCGCTTATTGGTGTCTTGCTCATAGCTGTCAACCCATACGGTTTACCCCGTATTCTTGTCGGAAAATTGAGTTTTCAGGTCCATACGGCATACTTCCATTTCAATACGGGCACATTATATAGCAGTGTAGTGTATAGTGTAAAATAGTGCAGTGTATATTACCAAACCTGTCAACCCATACGGTTTACCCCGTATTCTTGTACAGGGAAATTGAGTTTCATACGGCATACAGCCTTTTCAATACAGGCATACTTTTTGTTTGTCTATTTGTGTGTCTCCCTTGTGATGGGACTTTGTAGGATTCTAGATTTAAAGCTTTCGTGACTGCAAGGATCCATACTCTTTGGTTCTATTGGGTAAAGTCACGTAGGTAAAAAATAAAATAACAAAAATCGCGACGTTTCGGCCACAACACAAGCGGCCTTCATCAGGTGAAGGGACGAGGTCGTGATCTGAGCGTGGCTTTTTTCACTCCAGCGCTGTCCTCTAGACAGTCTCGTCCCTTCACCTGATGAAGGCCGCTTGTGTTGTGGCCGAAACGTCGTGATTTTTGTCATTTTATTTTTTAAACGAAACGAAACTTTGTAGTTCGAGATAAAACGTGTCAGGAAGATATTGTAGGCGTAGCGTCACCGTGAAAAGTGGGTGGGTGGGTGGTGACGTGTGCAAGCCTGAGGTCGGAAATACAAAGGGGGAGATGGACATTTGATGCGGCTTTATATACTTTTGTTAAAACACACAGAACCTGGAGGTTAGTCTTGTCACTTGTAACAGTTGTAGGATCTGGCAGAGGCGTTGATGGCATCGGTTGAAGCACAACGCGTGAGCCACCGTGCCGCACTCCACCCACTGCAAGCCCTCCGAGTGGTTCGCAGCGTCGTCGGCTCTCGCCGTGATTGTTGCAACGCCACCCTGACTCGGACTTCAGGAAAGAGACCTCCGACAAACCATGGCACCTTCGAAACGGCCTCTCATGGTGCCCTCCTCCACGTCCGGCCAAAAACCCTGCGAATGGCTCAGCTGGTCTCAGGTTCATCCAGGGGGATTATTCAGGTGGTCTCAGGTTCATCCAGGGGGATTATTCAGGTGGTCTCAGGTGCATCCACAGGGATTATTCAGGTGGTCTCTAATGTGCATCCACAGGGATTATTCAGGTGGTCTCAGGTTCATCCAGAGGGATTATTCAGGTGGTCTCAGATGCATCCACAGGGATTATTCAGGTGGTCTCAGGTGCATCCAGAGGGATTATTCAGGTGGTCTCTAATGTGCATCCACAGGGATTATTCAGGTGGTCTCTAATGTGCATCCAGAGGGATTATTCAGGTGGTCTCTAATGTGCATCCACAGGGATTATTCAGGTGGTCTCTAATGTGCATCAACAGGGATTATTCAGGTGGTCTCTAATGTTCATCCAGGGGGATTATTCAGGTGGTCTCAGGTGCATCCAGAGGGATTATTCAGGTGGTCTCAGGTGCATCCAGAGGGATTATTCACGTGGTCTCAGGTGCATCCAGAGGGATTATTCAGGTGGTCTCAGGTTCATCCAGGGGGATTATTCAGGTGGTCTCTAATGTGCATCCACAGGGATTATTCAGGTGGTCTCTAATGTGCATCCAAAGGGATTATTCAGGTGGTCTCAGGTGCATCCACAGGGATTATTCAGGTGGTCTCAGGTTCATCCACAGGGATTATTCAGGTGGTCTCAGGTTCATCCAGAGGGATTATTCAGGTGGTCTCAGGTGCATCCACAGGGATTATTCAGGTGGTCTCTAATGTGCATCCACAGGGATTATTCAGGTGGTCTCAGGTGCATCCACAGGGATTATTCAGGTGGTCTTTAATGTGCATCCACAGGGATTATTCAGGTGGTCTCAGGTCCATCTACAGGGATTATTCAGATGGTCTCAGGTGCATCCAGGGGGATTAATCAGGTGGTCTCAGGTGCATCCACAGGGATTATTCAGGTGGTCTCAGGTGCATCCACAGGGATTATTCAGGTGGTCTCAGGTGCATCCACACGGATTATTCAGGTGGTCTCAGGTGCATCCAGGGGGATTATTCAGGTGGTCTCAGGTGCATCCAGGGGGATTATTCAGGTGGTCTCTAATGTTCATCCAGGGGGATTATTCAGGTGGTCTCAGGTGCATCCAGAGGGATTATTCAGGTGGTCTCAGGTGCATCCAGAGGGATTATTCACGTGGTCTCAGGTGCATCCAGAGGGATTATTCAGGTGGTCTCAGGTTCATCCAGGGGGATTATTCAGGTGGTCTCAGGTGCATCCACAGGGATTATTCAGGTGGTCTCTAATGTGCATCCAAAGGGATTATTCAGGTGGTCTCAGGTGCATCCACAGGGATTATTCAGGTGGTCTCAGGTTCATCCACAGGGATTATTCAGGTGGTCTCAGGTTCATCCAGAGGGATTATTCAGGTGGTCTCAGGTGCATCCACAGGGATTATTCAGGTGGTCTCTAATGTGCATCCACAGGGATTATTCAGGTGGTCTCAGGTGCATCCACAGGGATTATTCAGGTGGTCTTTAATGTGCATCCACAGGGATTATTCAGGTGGTCTCAGGTCCATCTACAGGGATTATTCAGATGGTCTCAGGTGCATCCAGGGGGATTATTCAGGTGGTCTCAGGTGCATCCACAGGGATTATTCAGGTGGTCTCAGGTGCATCCACAGGGATTATTCAGGTGGTCTCAGGTGCATCCACACGGATTATTCAGGTGGTCTCAGGTGCATCCAGGGGGATTATTCAGGTGGTCTCAGGTGCATCCAGGGGGATTATTCAGGTCGTCTCAGGTGCATCCAGAGGGATTATTCAGGTGGTCTCAGGTGCATCCACAGGGATTGTTCAGGTGGTCTCAGGTGCATCCACAGGGATTATTCAGGTGGTCTCAGGTGCATCCACAGGGATTATTCAGGTGGTCTCAGGTGCATCCACAGGGATTATTCAGGTGGTCTTTAATGTGCATCCACAGGGATTATTCAGGTGGTCTCAGGTCCATCTACAGGGATTATTCAGATGGTCTCAGGTGCATCCAGGGGGATTATTCAGGTGGTCTCAGGTGCATCCACAGGGATTATTCAGGTGGTCTCAGGTGCATCCACAGGGATTATTCAGGTGGTCTCAGGTGCATCCACACGGATTATTCAGGTGGTCTCAGGTGCATCCAGGGGGATTATTCAGGTGGTCTCAGGTGCATCCAGGGGGATTATTCAGGTCGTCTCAGGTGCATCCAGAGGGATTATTCAGGTGGTCTCAGGTGCATCCACAGGGATTATTCAGGTGGTCTCAGGTGCATCCACAGGGATTATTCAGGTGGTCTCAGGTGCATCCACAGGGATTATTCAGGTGGTCTCAGGTGCATCCACAGGGATTATTCAGGTGGTCTCAGGTGCATCCACAGGGATTATTCAGGTGGTCTCAGGTGCATCCACAGGGATTATTCAGGTGGTCTCAGGTGCATCCACAGGGATTATTCAGGTGGTCTCAGGTGCATCCACAGGGATTATTCAGGTGGTCTCAGGTGCATCCACAGGGATTATTCAGGTGGTCTCAAGTGCATCCACAGGGATTATTCAGGTGGTCTCAGGTGCATCCACAGGGATTATTCAGGTGGTCTCAGGTGCATCCACAGGGATTATTCAGGTCGTCTCAGGTGCATCCAGAGGGATTATTCAGGTGGTCTCAGGTGTATCCACAGGGATTATTCAGGTGGTCTCAGGTGCATCCAGGGGGATTATTCAGGTGGTCTCAGGTGCATCCAGGGGGATTATTCAGGTCGTCTCAGGTGCATCCACAGGGATTATTCAGGTCGTCTCAGGTGCATCGACAGGGATTATTCAGGTGGTCTCAGGTGCATCCACAGGGATTATTCAGGTGGTCTCAGGTGCATCCAGAGGGATTATTCAGGTGGTCTCAGGTGCATCCACAGGGATTATTCAGGTGGTCTCAGGTGCATCCAGAGGGATTATTCAGGTGGTCTCTAATGTGCATCCACAGGGATTATTCAGGTGGTCTCAGGTGCATCCACAGGGATTATTCAGGTGGTCTCAGGTGCATCCACAGGGATTATTCAGGTGGTCTCAGGTGCATCCACAGGGATTATTCAGGTGGTATCGGTCCAGCTCCAGACAGAGCAGTGCTGGAGCCCCTTTCCCCATCGAGGATTCGGACATTGCGGGTGGCAGCTGCAGCAGCTGCCGCTTGTTTATGGAGGCTCCATTGGGGCGGGCTGGGTTCCTGGGCGCCGCCAAATTGGGTGAGGCAAGGGGAAGTAATGGGACACCTGTTCCCTCAGGGTGTCTGGGCATATGCTCATTGCACCTTTAATTTGTCGTACAGTACTCAGGTAATTATGCTGGTGTCGGGATTTCTACCGCATTTAACGGAGCCAAAGTACTGCGTGACCGCTGTGGCGTGCGTGGCTCTGCCGCCTGTGTACTCAGCCGACGACTGGCGGCCTGCTCCACCCGCCCCCCTCCCCCCATGGCATGGCCCACAATCACAACCGCACAGCAGTGTCTGGTGGGGATTGTCTTGCACGAGGGCCGGGCGCTTGTGACGGGTGCTGGGATTGTTAACTACCTCGCCTGGAATGCAGGAGGTTGTGGGTTCGACCCCGACTCTGACTCCTGCTGTATATTTGGAGTTTTCGTGTCTCTCTCCCTGTGGTGTGGATTTTTTTCCGGGTCTTCCAGTTTTTTTCCCTCCACATTTAGAATCAACGTGTGTTCAGAGTATTGGGCTGCTATAAATTTCCACGCGATAAGCCACTTCATAGAGCTATTATTTGTGGCAAGTTCGCTCTTTAAAAAGAGCGCTATAGCTCAGTGGGCCTTACCTGGTAATAGTTTATTTTAGTTTCCCACACACCGCTGTTGTTGGAAGATGGAACTCTTTTCCATCTTCCAACAACAGCTTTACACCCCCACACAAAAGACAAAGATCCCCTGTGTAGCCTTAAAGACTGTTGTGGCAAGTGCTATTCGCGAGGGCCTATAAAGGCCGGCACGGTACACGAGGGGGTGGGTAGCCAGCACCACACCAGGCACTTATTTGATACTTAATCGACCTGGCGAGGGCCCAGCACTGGCTCAGATAATCGTCGCTGGTGTTGGCCATGAGAGGGAATCGAACTTGGGTTGGCAAGTTTGTAGCACAGCGCGCTAACTGTTACTCTACACCCCAACACACTTAAGCACACACACACACACGCACAAACGCACACACGCATATACATTAGCTCATCACACCATACGTTCTTGGAGAGCCAATAACTACATCCTAACTGAATGGCACGAGTAGCACGTACTTACAAGTGTCATCTTATCACTGCTTCAGGTTAGACTTCGCAAACAACAGTTACTCCACTTCTGCAGGGGGTCATTCCATCTCCGAGAGGTCATCTCGTCCACGCTGTGTTCCCATTCTAATGCGTTGGCTATTATTGCCTTTGCGAGACACGGTATATAATTTTGACCCTATCCAATATGTGAGGTCACTGTCCGGGTCACACTTGTAAATGAGACCATGCTGGTCTCTCTCCTGAGTTCTCTCCTGGTTAAACAAAAATAAACGCGTCTTTGCGTTATCACAGAAAGAGCATCCACATGTGATTCTTTTACATTTCGTGTTCAATTGCGTCGGTGTGATTTACACGTAAATACTCATTAAAGGCTAGTTAATTTGGGAAATTTTAAATATATATTTAACTCGTACGTAACTCTGTTTGAATGTTTTGTAACTGGCCTATTGTTTAAATTTTGATTTAAAGCTTTCGTGACTGCAGTGATTCATATTCTTGGTTCTTTCGGTAAAGTCACGTTGAAGGGAATAAATAAAATAATAAAATATATATAAAACATTGAAATTCTCACGACGTTTCCACTGCAACACAAGCAGTCATCATCACGTGTGAAAACCAACTGCAAGAACATTTGAAAGAAGTGGTGGTTTGTATTTATTTATCTATTAACGTTAGCACCACGGATAGCGATTTGACAGTTTGTTTAGATGGACGAGTCCATTTATGTTCGGAAAAGAGGAGGGGGGAGACGAAAAATTAATGTATGCTGTCTGAAAGCCACCGTAAGCATGAACAATTAATTAAGACCCGAAATGGTTTATCAAATCCTTCCAATGATTGATAGCCAGAATACATCTTCTTTGCAAGCCATCTGGCCACCATGAGAGATTCGTTCATGAGGCTATCCACATATACAAACACAGAGACAATTTCAACCGAGAAGATGGATTCTGGCTTAGCAATCATTGGAAGCATTTGATAAACCATTTCGGGTCTTAATTGATTGTTCACGCTTACGGTGGCTTTCAGACAGCATACATTAATTTTTCGTCTCCCTCCTCCTCTTTTCCGAACATAGATGGACTCGTCCATCTAAATAAACTGTCAAATCGCTATCCGTGGTGCTAACGTTTAAAAATAAATAAATAAATACAAACCGCTACTTCTTTCAAATGTTCTTGCCGTTGGTTTTCACACCTGATGATGACTGCTTGTGTTGCAGTCGAAACGTCGTGAGAATTGTATTGTTTAATATATATTTTATTGTTTCCCTTCAAAGTGACTTTACCGAAAGAACCAAGAATATGGCCTAATGTTTGTTTCCACAAATGCACAGCACACACACACTGTGTTCTACGCATTCATGTTCTTGCATGTTTTCATTTACCAAAAAATGTATATTTTCAATTTTATAAATATATCACACAAGGGCTCTCCAAACACGTCCCGTCAACGTGGAAGATTAGACCAAACACCACTCTAAAGCTCCTTCCAGTGAAGGCCTTTCCACCAGCAGTGGCTTGAGCGAACAAATACCTGGCCGTATTTTTTCCTTGTTTGCACCGTTTGTTACATGAGAAAATCCCACCACGAGGAATCTCATCACGAGGAATCCTACCACGAGGATTCTTACAATGAGGATTTCCACCACGATGAATCCCACCACGAGGAATCCCACCACGAGGATTCCCACTATGAGGAATCTCACCACGAGGAATCTCACCATGAGGAATCGCACCACGAGAAATCCCACCATGAGGAATCCCACCATGAGGAATCCCACCACGAAGAATCCCACCATGAGGAATCCTACCACGTGGATTCCCACCACGAGGAATCCCACCACGAGTAATCCCACCACGAGGAATCCCACCACGAGGATTCCCACCACAAGGGATCCCACCAGGAGGAAACCCACCACGAGGAATCCCACCACGAGGAATCCCACCACGAGGAATCCCACCACGAGGAATCCCACCACGAGGGATCCCACCACGAGGGATCCCACCAGGAGGAAACCCACCACGAGGAATCCCACCACGAGGAATCCCACCACGAGAAATCCCACCATGAGGAATCCCACCATGAGGAATCCCACCACGAAGAATCCCACCATGAGGAATCCTACCACGTGGATTCCCACCACGAGGAATCCCACCACGAGAAATCCCACCACGAGGAATCCCACCACGAGGATTCCCACCACGAGGGATCCCACCAGGAGGAAACCCACCACGAGGAATCCCACCACGAGGAATCCCACCACGAGGAATCCCACCACGAGGAATCCCACCATGTATGCACCACTGTTCAGGGAACGTTTCGTGGCGCGGTTGAAGAGCGTGAACCGACGGTGGTAAACGCCAGTGTTGTACCAAGCTATGGGCCTTTTGGTTTGACATCAAACTATTATAGCAGGAATTCCAAAGCTGAAAAATAAATTTTGACTTAAAATTTTCGTGACTGAAGGAATTAATATTCTTGGTTCTTTCGGTAAAGTCACGTAAATAGAAAACAAAAAAAACAAAATAAAGAAACTCAATTTACACTCTTCAGCACATATACATTTAAAATAAAATGTATTTTAATCAATGTTTTTTTCGTGTCAAATAACGTGAAAGTGCATATTGTGCATGGTCATGTAGAGTTACCGGAAAACCCTGCTTCTATTGAAGAAGGGTAGCTGGCCATATAGATGGCAGGCTCGCTCATTTTTCTCTTTGTAAAAAAAAGTCACATTAACCACATTTTTCCATAATTGCCTAACTGCAGAACATAAATAAATTGTTTTTTTTCTTTCTATATGCAGAGATTTAGCTCATTCTCTTCAGCTTTCCGTGGTCTCAATTCTGAAGGATATCACGATAATTTGCTATTTCCATCTATCTGGCCACGTAATCTCTGGGCCTGGATTAATTTCATCCTGGGCCTGAAGCCAGGGGTTTTTTTCGGTCCATGCCACTGACTCTGTTATGACCAACATGGAACCAGCTACCCTGGAACAAAACCAAATGCTCGATGGTGGTGGCCCATGCATTGGAATTCAGCACAGTGGGGGTAGTGTTGGTAGATTGTGAAAAAGCATCATCATGTGTGGGAGAAACCCAATACGTAGGGTCCTGTGCAAGGTAGCCATTAGATTGACATTAGATAGTGGACCTACTTGCGCGGGTTTTGCTGAGCATGTATTCAACCCTAGTTCATAGATTTTTTCTGGTTACCCCGGAATTGACAAAATGTGCAGTGGACACCTACGAGCGGTCTGCCCTTGGGTCGTGATGATGTTGATGTCCCTTGTGCGAAACAACTCGTAAACAAATGGCAAAAACATGCCAAGCAGGATGTTCTTAAAAGGCCCTTGGGACTGAGCTTGGCTTTCCTCGATGAAAAAAACCAACATTTATTATGTTAATTTAACAACGCTAATGACAGCAATGACGTGTCTCTCATTTTGTGAATCCAAAACTAAGAATACAAGGAAACTTAAACTGCATTAAATGGGTACTAAGTCATTATTTCCTACTTAGCATCGAGCCATTGATGTGTTTACAAGAGACCAGATTGTCAGTGGGAGGGCTATGCAGAGGGCAGTCTGCAGACAGAAGGTTTCTACGTATCTTGACTGAACGCTGCACAAATCAGCGTTACGCTGAATTGTCTGGCTGCAAAGCGTCGCAGCCTTGTTACTACAATGAGGTAACTGATTTCTATAGATCGATAACTGCAGTCTTTTGAAATGAATTAAGTCAATGTGCAATCTGCTCATACTATTGCAAAGCCTACATATTATATTAAAATTGCACATTGTGGGTGTGCACGTCTTTTAAAGATGCAATTTTTATGCAGGTCATCGGATTGCTCATGATTCCGTGCCCTGTGAATGCCATGAGATGATGGCTCTAACCTGGCGCAGCACCCTCACAGTACAACCCCTCTCCTGCGGAGAAGTTCCTCGGTGTCTGCCGAGCCTCTGATGACCACACGGCGATACTCTTGGTTACGTATTATTATGTTTATTATTACATTAGTTTACCCAACAAAGCCTCGTTGAGTCTCAAGACTCCTTTTCAAGAGATTCCTGCCAAGTTGTCGCAGTCGGGGACGATGTTTGCTTACGTGCGATCCCGAATGAGTCTTTGGCTTTTAGCTGTGGAAGAAAACCGGAGAACCCGGAGTAAACCCACATTCCGTACACAGAACATACAGTGAGGGGAAAAAGTATTTGATCCCCTGCTGATTTTGTACGGTTGCCCACTGACAAATAAATGATCAGTCTATAATTTTAATGGTAGGTTTATTTGAACAGTGAGAGACAGAATAACAACAACAAAAATCCAGAAAAACGCATGTTAACTCTACACGGAACGGAACCTGAGT